CCCTAAGTGTTTGCAAAACTGTTCTCAAATGTTGTTCGTGTTCTTCTCTACTTCTCGAATAAACTAAAATATCATCAATAAAGACAACTATGAATTCGTCAATGTAGGATTTAAAAATTTGGTTCATAAAGTCCATAAATGCTATGGGGTCATTTGTAACCCCAAATGGCATATCTAGAAATTCGTAATGTCCATACCTTGTTCTAAATGTAGTTTTCTCAACATCTTCAGCTTTCACCTTCAGTTGATGGTACCTAGATCTCAAATCGATCTTTGAAAATACTTTTGAACCTTGCAATTGATCAAACAAATCATTAATACGAGGTAGAGGGTATTTGTTTTTGATCATTACCTTATTCTACTCTCGATAATCGATACATAAACGTAAGGTTCTATTATTCTTTTTCACAAATATGACAGGCGAACCCCAAGGTGAAGTAGTCGGTCAAATAAAACCTTTGTCAGGTCTTGTATATGTTCTTTTAATTCTTTCATTTCTGCGGTTGACATTTTGTACAGAGTCTTTGAAATGGGTTGAATACCTGGCATAATTTCAATAGTAAACTCAATTTTCCTGTTAACTAATTCCCTTGGCAATTTTTCTGGAAAGACATCTAGAAATTTTCTAACAATAAAAATATTATCTAACACAATGTTCATAGACTGATTAATCAAAATACTACATAAATAACCCAGACATCCCTTCTTAAGTAATTTGCATGCTTTCATTGCCGAAATCAAGTAAGGCGGAGGTACTACACCATTACCCACAAATACAAATTCACCAGGTCCCAGAGGTCTAAACAAAACTCTTTTTGTCACACAATCAATAGTAGCACAGTATTCAGACAACCAATCCATTTCTAAAATCACATCAAAATGTCTAATGTCAAGAGGTAACAAATCAACACATAATGTAGCATTTCCAACATGTATTTCACAAGCACGATATATGTATGAACACAGAACAAATTTCCCAGATGAGGCAGATACACACAACAGATATGGTAATGATTTCATGGGTCTATTCAATTTAGATGCAAATACAGTAGATACGAAGGAATGTGTTGAACCCAAATCAATTAGCACAAATGTATCTTAGTTACAAATAGAGAGAGTACTTGAGACAACGACTTTAGTATTTTGTGTATCACTTGGGACGAGTACAAAAACTCTCCCTTGCCATAGTGTGTCTCTCGTAGCAGCAGGCTTTGCAGTGTTTCCTGGCATTGGGATAGATACAATCGAACTAGCAACTAGTTTTCCACTTTTATATTTAGCTTAGGGACAATCTCTAACAATATGTCCGGTCTTGCCATATTGAAAACATGCCCCAAAAGTATAATAAAAAACTACCTAGTGTTTCTTGCCACATACATTATAGGTTGGTGCAGAATCTCTGTTGAATTAGAAACACTAGATGTTCCCCGATTTTGCTTCATTGAAGACGATGATCCTTTATTTGAATAAGAACCATGCCTCTTTCTTCTCTATTCAAAGGGTCAGTTATGAGATGCCAAATTGCCTTAGATATTAAATCTCGGTCAAGAATGTCCACATACTTTGGCAGTTTCATGACATTTACTTTTTCTAAAATTGCATTCCGAAGTCTGCCCTCAAACTTCCTCACTTTCTTATAATTGGTGTCGACCATGTGCGGTGCAAACCTGGCCATCTCTGTGAACTTTGCTTCATATTCAGCTGCTGTCATGTTACCTTGTTTAAGTCCTTCAAACTTAGACACTTTTCAACCACAGACACACTGCAAAAAATATTTCTTATAGAATATTTCAAGAAATCAGCACCCAAGAAATATCTTAAATAATTTCTTGATTCCAAGTACCCAAGCTTCAGCTTTTAATGGTTCTACTCCCCCATGGAATAATGGTGGTTTAATCTTCTTAAATTCTTTAGTGCGGGCAATTGTATGGTCATTAGTTTGATGATCTTGCACAAGAGGCACTAGCATTGGCAGAGGTGGAGGTGGTTGTTGCTGTTGTTGCCTTAATGCTTCTGGCATATCATGGATCATTCTTTTCATTCTGTCCAGTTTGGCGGTAGTCGCCTCTTCTATTCATCAGCCTTTGTTCTCACCATTATCTATCTAAACTTGCATTATAATAGGCACATAAATTGCACATATACACATTTAGGCACAATAGTTCATATTCCATATATTCACATGTTCTCAATGCACACAAACAAATTCTTATCATATAAATGCACCTTAAGTCTTTTCTAGACACTTTATTGCTCAATTAGACAAATGTGTGAGAGTTATTAACCTGGCTCAGATACCACTCTGTCATGACCCGAACCCGCCCCTAAAGGTTTGGATCATAACTGGTTAGTAATCATGAGATTACTTACAGCCTTAGATAGAAATTTAATTATATTTAATCATATAAGGCCGTTGAATAATAAAATTTGTCCAATGAGCTATGCATAAATGGCATGAACAAGAACTTGATATATATTAATAACTCACACTCATACATAAATAATAAGAACTCATATGTCCAAGATCTCTCATACATCATTGTCATACAAAACCAGAACTTATATATATCTATATAATAAGGGAGAAAGGTTTTTGAATTTATCCTAGAGACAATTGTCTTACTAGGACATTTCAATGGTTATGATTCATTTGTCTATTTACATAGATGGCTGAGATTACCCCTTAAATATATATCAATATATATCTATACTTACTTCCCGCCCAAAGAGTGAGCTTCCTACTTCCCCACATCTCTCCTCTATTTTATATTTATCTCTCTCTTCTCACCTTCCCGCTTGCCCACGTCTCCTATCCCTTCTATCTTTATCCCCCTCTCTTCTCTGTTCCAGTGTGCCAAGTTCTGCTATCGACGCTCCTCTTCATCACAAGGTAAGTTCTCTGATTCTCCTCTTCATAACGTTTTTGCCTTCAGTATTGTTTCGATTTCAGTATTGCTTCCCTTCTCACTCCTTCAGTATCTACCAACGTTCCTCTTTCCTTTCCCTTACATCCCTTTTGTCTTTTTTTGCCCCACAATTTCCTCCGATTTCTTTTCTCTTGCATCACTCTGGTATTTTCAATTGTAAATTGAACTGATTAAATTTTCTTTTATCTCTCTGCTCTCCAGGCCTCTTCTTCTTCGGTATTTTCTAATCACAAGGTAAAATTCTCTTTTTGGGGGTTTTGAGAAAGAAAACCTAGAAAAATAAATTGACAGAGATTGTATCTTTAAGATCACTCTGGTATTTTCTGATTTCAATTTCTTTCAATTGTAAACTGATTAAATGTTCTTTTATCTCTCTGCTCTCCAGACCTGTCCTTCGGTATTTTCTGAACCAGGCTTTGATGGGTCAGAGGATTCGAAATGGAGGTTTCTCTAGGCTGATTCGTATGGATTTGGAGGTCTGAATCTGGGTTTACAGAGTGGGTTCAATGTGGAAGAGCTCTCTTCAATCCCAAACTTAAGGGCTTATAATTATTACTTTGATGATCAACACTGTGGTCTCTGCCACAAGGTAATGTTTCAAAATCAAAACCCATTTTTTTTTTATATTTTTTTTTCCTAATCTTTTTGGGATTTGTTGCAGAAGAAGCACGTTAATGGCGAAAACTTTGGGTTATCTCCTCCGATCAATCGCTGTGATTTTCTAAGATTGAATCTACGAAACAAGCGAATTGTCGACGGAGAGAATCAGGATCTCGGCATGGGAGCTCTGGGTTATGGCGGTGGCAATGTTGATTAGGTGAAGAAGGAGCCTTAAGCAGGTGCAAGAGACTCAATATATAGTGCTTTTTTTTATCTATCAAGTTTAATTACTGAAAGTTGTGTAATGTGTTTGTCATGGAGAATTGTGATGGAGAAAAAATATGATTTGAAAACTAAAATTTTATAGAGAAAAAAGCCCACTAAAATGATGATGTAAAAACTTGATTTTATACAAAATTTTCATATTAATATTTTTGACAAGAATGATATGTTATTATGATAATAGCATTTTCAAAACTACACAGCATAATGATTTTGTTTTTGTTCTAAAGCAATAGAATCAAATTTTCAATATATTTTTGCACTTTAAAACTACAATGATCATGGTTTTGTCCTAAAATGAAAGCTCCATACAAAAACACATTGTTTTGTGTGAAAGTTCTACTTATGTAGTATTATCTTTTGAAATAATAAGAAATTTTGATGGACTTTTTAATTTAAAATGGATGAATACAAATTTAACACCATATCATTTTGTATAATTTTTGTGTTTTTAATTTATACATCATTACTTTAAAAAAACACATGCATAAAAATTGATTACAAAATTAATCAAGGTCCTATGACATATCTTTAAGATCACTCTTGTATTTTTTGATTATCTCTATCGGTATTTTCTACCCGCCACCACCCACCGTCACCACTTTCCACCACCGTCTTCCGCTGCCACTTGCCACCACTTGTTATTTCTCACTCTTTTTTATGTTTTTAAATTTTTTTAAATATTTTTTCAATTACCAAACGTGTTTGTAGTTTATATTTTTCTAAAAATAAACAAAAAATAAACAAAAATCAGTTTATAAAATTTTTGTAACTACAAACTAAAAACGTAAACGTTACCAAACACATAATGATTCCAAATTTATGTTTTCTAGAAGAAAAGATAAGATAATCTCATTACTGATTTAACCAAATCTATTCTCTCGCATAAAATTCAAAAGAAAAAATTAAAAGATATCCAAAATACTAATTACAAATTTTCAAGTATTGATTTATGTATCTCATTTAATTTAAAATCTATAATATTATATAAGTAAAAACGTTGCATCTATGTATTTTTTTTCAATTCTAAAAATACAAAAATACATGTCATGAAATTATTGGACATTTGATCAATATGATAATATATTGGACATTTAATCTTACCTTCTTTAAAATATTGTTAATTTGATCAATATGGTAATATTATAATTGATATTTTATCTTAACTCTTTGAAAACATTATATATCTATATAATAAAGCAGAACGGATTTTAAAAATATGTTAGACACAATTGTCCTACTAGGACATTTCAAGGGTCATGATTTATTTGTATATTCACATGGATGGCTCAGATAAACCCCTTAATTTTATATCAATCCTAAATATACATCTTCCCGCCCAAACATTAAGCCTCCTCCCTACCCACGTCTCCCCCCAACTTCTCTGCTCTCCAACCAAATCACGTCTCTCCTCCATCCCTCTATCTTCCCGCACGTCTCCCCCACCCTTCTATCTTTATCTCCCTTCTATCTTTATCTCTCTGATCTCCAGCCAAATCACATCTCCCCTCCATCCCTCTTTATCTCTCTCTCTCTCTCTCCCTGTTCTTCTTCTTCCCGAAACTGCTCTCCTTCAACCACAGAACACCTTGGATCCTCTGTTTCTCAACCGCTCAGGTATGTGTATAATTCTTCCCGAAACTGCTTTACTTCACTTTACTTTGAATTGATCTCCTTCAACCACAGATTTGGTTCGTCTAGCTGTGCTTCAACCGCTCAGGTATGGCAATCTCTATCACAACTGTTCTTCTCACCCTTTAGAATCAGAATAAGGTTGTAAACTGAACTCAACAATTTCTATTATTTTAATATGATACGTGCCTTCAGTGAATTTTGAATTGAGACTAAGTATCAAAATTCAGTGAATTTCCCGAATCAGTGAATCAAAATTCAGTGAATAAATTCTGTCCTTCAACCACAGATTCGGGAATACTACCTTGCGATCAGAAAATTCAGTTATTCACAATTTTAATATGATGTGTATGATTAACTGTATTTTGAATTGAGACTAAGTAAATCATAACCCATGGTATTGAGAATAACAGATTCAATTTCGATTTCAGTATTGCTAGACGATTCGAAATGGAGGTTTCTCTGGGCTGATTCGTATGGATTTGGAGGTCTGAATCTGGGTTTACAGAGTGGGTTCAATGTGGAAGAGCTCTCTTCAATCCCAAACTTAAGGTCTTATAATTATTACTCTGATGATCAACACTGTGGTCTCTGCCACAAGGTAATGTTTCAAAATCGAAACCCATTTTTTTTTTTATATTTTTTTTCCTAATCTTTTTGGGATTTGTTGCAGAAGAAGCGCGTTAATGGAGAAAACTTTGGGTTATCTCCTCCAATCAATGGCTGTGATTTTCTAGGATTGAATCTACGAAACAAGCGAATTGTCGACGGAGAGAATCAGGATCTCAGCATGGGAGCTCTGGGTTATGGGCAGTGGCAATGTTGATCAGGTGAAGAAGGAGCCTTAAGCAGGTGCAAGAGACTCAATAGATAGTGCTTTTTTTTATCTATCAAGTTTAATTACTGAAAGTTGTGTAATGTGTTTGTCATGGAGAATTGTGATGGAGAAAAAATATGATTTGAAAACTAAAATTTTATAGAGAAAAAAGCCCACTAAAATGATGATGTAAAAACTTGATTTTATACAAAATTTTCATATTGATATTTTTGACAAGAATGATATGATATTATGATAATAGCGTTTTTAAAACTACACAGCATAATGATTTTGTTTTTGTTTTAAAGCAATAGAATCAATTTTTCAATATAAAATGATGTGAATTTTTTGCACCTTAAAACTACAATGATCATGGTTTTGTCCTAAAATGAAAGCTCCATACAAAAACAAATTGTTTTGTATGAAAATTCTATTTATATAGTATTATCCTTGGAAATAATAAGAAATTTTGATTGGCTTTTTAATTTAAAATGGATGAATACGAATTTAACACCATATCATTTTGTATAATTTTTGTGTTTTTAATTTATACATCATTACTTTAAAAAAACACATGCATAAAAATTGATTACAAAATTAATCAAGGTCCTATGACATATCTTTAAGATCACTCTTGTATTTTTTGATTATCTCTATCGGTATTTTCTGATTTCAATGAGTGGGGAATTGATGGACAAGGTGTGGGTTTTTTTTTACAAATTTCAATTATATACATACATATATGTATCTCTGTGTATATTGACTTATTTATGTTCTGGATCTTATTTTTTGTCTCAGGCTTGCTTCGTTGTGGCAAGAGTTGTAGAAAATTTGAAAACATTGATTTGAGTTGCTGGATCTGCTTGATTTTTGTTGTTGTTGTATAATAGTATACAATCTACTGGAACAACAATAGATCATGCATTTTCCCAAAACATAGTATAATAGTATATCAAATGTGTGTGTATGAAGTGCTACTGCTGAAGTTTTGCATTTGCAGATGGAGGCAGTCGTTTGCATTTCTAAATTTTATTCACTAAATTTTTTATTCAATTCCGGATTAATTTTTTATTCACTAAATTTTAATGGGTTCCTTATTTTAATAGTCTGATATACACACATATAGAAATACTAAGAAACTTGAACTTATTTTATGAAAGAGTAGATCTGGAGCACACAAAGCAGAAAATTGGAGAGGAAAAAAAATAAATGATTTTCAATTTGAAGAGCTTTGAGTTTATAAAAATTGAAAGAAAACCTACTAATGTTGAAATGTTCATTCGTAAGGCAGATGTATTTCATAGATGAAAGAAAATGAGTGGTGGAAGATGGAGGAGAGAGAATGAGTGGGGAATTGATGGACAAGGTGTGGGTTCTGTGTTTCTAACCATTAAATTGATTTTTAATTTTTTTTAATTTTTAATTTTTTTTATGTCTTTGTTTTTTCTTTTTTTTATTTATATAGATTTTTTATTTTTTTCTATTTTTATGTAGCTTATGGATTTGGATTTAATTTTTTTAAAAGTTTTAGGTCTGAAATAATAGTTGATCTTTATAAAATGAGTTTTGATTTTAGAAATATATTTTTATTTTTAATTCAATTTATGAAATGGATTTAATTTCTTAATGGAAAATGAGTGTTGATTTTTTATGATTTTGAAAAAAGCGTTTGAAATGGGTGTTGATTTTTTTTTGATTTAACAAAATCAAATCACAAATTTAAGATAAAATAGAGTGAAAAAAAATACAGAGAGAGGAAGATCGAACAAAGGAAATAAAGGGTTTGTTATTTGAGCTCAGAGAGAAAATGTAGTGTTTGTTAAGAGATGAGAGAGGATGAGAGGAAAAAATGAGAAAGAGAGACGTTACACACACACATAGAGAGAGAGAGAGAGAGAGAGAGAGAGAGAGTATTTTAAATACTATACTTTTTTAGATGTTGAAATTCTATAAAAAGTTTAATAAAAATTTCAAATACAAATTAATATTTTAATTTAAACTTCTAGTAATGAATTTGATAAATTATATTTTAACTTAAACGAACTGCCATTCTACGATATCTTGAATTGATTTATTATAATTGATTTCTATAACAGTGAAATTATTATCATTTTGAATTGATTTTTTTGTAAAGGATGTGATACCAATATTAATAATTTATGTTAATTGATTTTTGTAAAATATGTGTACCAATATTATTTATACCGTGTCTTCAAGCACGGGCATATGCTAGTATATATATACAAGGTTAAACATGACCAATAAAAGAAAGTAGAAATTCAAAAGACAATAGAAACAAAAACCTCGCTCGTGAGGCATTCAAGACAAACTTCACAAAAATTTGGTATCCTTCACAGGTTCACTAAGGCTAGGGCTGGACATCCTGGTGCTCACCTACATACATATATATAGCAGAGTGAGTGAAAACCCAGTGAATAACATCAAAGTAAAAGGGTTATATAAATGAGTTCTGTTAGGTTTTTATTCTTGGCAATCTCGTTGGACAAAACTCTTATCAGTTGTATTTGTTTTCACACTTTTTATTTCAGTGAGTCTATGAGTTTTTAGATGCGAATCCAACCCGAATTGTGCCTTGCAAAGAAGTTTGTGATGTTAATGCTTTCAAGATAGCCACTTCGCTGATTATGACGGGGATCGAGCTGCCCGGTCAGCTCGCGGGGGTCCACGGGGCAGCGCCCTTTGGCGGGTCCGGGGCAGCCCCACGGCGGGGTTGAGGGGCAATGCCCCCGAAGCAAAATGCAAAATTGCATTGGAAGTTGCATGTCTGCCCTTGCTTGCTCAAGTGAAGAAGTTCTCGCTCAAGCGAAGGCTGTGTCTGGCAAAAAACCTGAGAAGAATGATTTTACGCTCGAGCGCAGGTTGTTTGGCTTGAGCGAAGTCACTTATGGAAAACACGCGTTTTTAGTTTCTCGCTCGAGTGAGAGAGTCTTCGCTCGAGCGAGCTTCGCAGTCCCAGATTTCTTTGAGTACGGGATTCAGTCAGATTTTATGATTACTTCTCAAAATCTTCTTTTTGGATATTAAGGTTTATCCCTAGAGATTTTTTGCTAGTTTTCTTTGATGTTTTGATTGAGTATTCAACTCATGGTTTTAGAAGTTTACATCAAAGGATTGTTTGTTTAATTCTATACAAAAGAGAGAGTTGTTCTTCGGTGGATTCTGAAGAATACGAGCCTGAAGCTTTGGTAGATTCTGGAGTGGCTCATCGTCAAGACAATTCCGAGGTGAAGACGGGGTTGGAAGAGACACATAGAGGTTGGTTCAATTCGGGCGTGAATTCGCTAAGTAATTGAGAGTATACCTGTGTAATTCCTTTATATCTTCTTAGTGGATTGTTTTGTGGCTGTTGCCCGTGGTTTTTTTTATCACAATTGGAGGTGCTCCAATTATGGTTTTTCCACGTTAAAATCATTGTGTCGATTTGTCTAGATTGTTTGATTGTGATTATTTTATTGCTTAAAATTGATACATAATTACAAATCAACATCTAGGGGATTTCTAGATTTTTCAATTGGTATTAGAGCGGGTTGCTCGTTTGTCTTTTAAAATTTTTGAACAAGATCTTGTTTGATTTGTGATAATGGATTCAATTCGTGAGGGAAATTCTATGGTTCAACCACCCCTACTTGACGGATCCAATTATTCGTTTTGGAAAGCTCGGATGAGATCGTTTTTAAAATCTATTGATGAAAAAGTTTGACAATCTGTCATGAATGGGTGGACCAAACCAACAATTATCGTTGATGGAGTAACTTTCCCCGAACCAATTGATAAGTGGGACACAATTGATTACCAAAATAGTAGCTGGAATAGTAAAGCTATCAATTCTCTCTTTTGCGCTGTCGCACTTGAAAAGTTTAGTCCTATTTGCAATTGTGTGTAGACACCCCATTTTTTACCGACCTTAAGACTCAAACGTCATCGATTGAGCGCTCGATGATAACGCATGTTGTGCTCGTTCTGGGGTTTCGGAGTCTCGGCTAAGAGCCTTGCCTCCGGACTTCGGGGCTCTTTTGTGCTTTGCCTCGGTTTGCGAACCAGGTCCCGTTTTCTTTGTTTTCTCTTCCCGAAAGAAGGGAGAGGTCTCGTAAACCATCTCTTAGTGGCCGTAGGCTACGTTTCGTGGTCGTAGGCCATTTTTTCCGTTTGGAGACCAGTTTCTGATTTTTCGAAGCCGTCGGCCGTGTGCCTCGGTTCGGGACCGCTTAACTACCTCTGTTTGTTCCGGTTTTTGGCACACACCTTGTTTCCTCTCCCTAGAGGGACACTGTGGCCCAGGAGACCACCTTTGTGGTTGCGCGCCACTTCCAGTGCTTAATAGTCAGTTTTCGGGGCCCCCGGCTGCGTGTTTTGGCCCCCGAACCTTTGTTTTGCATCGGTCAGGGTTCATTTTTGGCATGTACCCTATTTTCATTGTTAGAAAGGTGGTAGTAGGGTGGGAGACCACATTTTCTTCTTGGAAACCAGCTTTCTCCTTGGAGACCACTTTTCTCTCTTCTCCAGCCGATTTTCTTGACAGAAAGCTAGTTTTCCTCACTTTTGGACCATAAGTTCTGGTCTCCCATACCACTATTGTGTTGTACTCATCTAGGAGACCACCAATATGGGTAGGCCGACCAGCTTTTCTTCCTGACCCTTTTGAACCTTGCTAGAAAGCTGGTGTTCCTCTCTCCTAGGCCACAATTTCTGGTCTCTCACCATACAGCTGTGTTGTACTCATCTGGGAGGCCACCTTTCTGGTATGGCCAACCAGCATTTCACATTGAACCTTTTGAACCCTGGTCGGCCGATCAGGGCAAGTGGTCGGCCGACCACTTGAACTGGTCGGCCGACCACTTGAACTGGTCGGCCAACCATCCCCTTTTTGGCCTTCTTGAGTGCAACATAGCGGTGCTAGCTGTGAAGTATTTGACCCTTCCTCCGAGAGTTGACCCTCTTGTTTGTCTTCTTAAGGAAGCTTTGGCCTTTTTTGCTTAGCTTATAGGAGAAGCTTGACCTTTTGTCAAGCTTCTTGAGGAAGCTTGACCCCTTTGGTCTAGCTTTCTCAAGAAGCTTGACCCTTTTGGTTAGCTTCTTTTACAAGCTTGCACCCTTTACTTGAGGCTTCTCCAAGAAGCCTTGGCCCTTTGTCTTCTATAAGAGAGGCTTTCCTCTCCATTTGCAAGGGTTGAAGAATTTGGTTAAGACACTTTGCATACAACCCTCCATATCTCTCAATCCCAAGCTCTAAACTCCATTACTCTTGGCCATTTGCACACCAACCCTTAGCACAACACCTCCACCATCCATCCAAGCATCTTGGAACTGATTTGCAAAGGTTGAAGGCTCACCATCTTGGTCTAGAAGTTGCTGGAGGTCTTCTCTACAAGGGTAAGTCTCTATTTCTCCCATTTTGACATTGTTTTGCTTCATTTTTTAGCCTTATTTGCAAGCATTTCTGGGTTTTGTCTTAAATTAAGTGTCTTATTTTGAACTCCTTTTGAAGTTTGATTAAGGACACTTTTCTGTTTGAGGTCATCTACCTCCTTCTATGCTACATCCCTCTTTGTAGGCTTATTTTGCTTCCTATCTTAGCCTTACTTGCAAACATTTTCGAGATTTGTCATAAACTGAAAAGAATCTTATTTTGAGCCCCTCTTGAAGTTTGATTAAGGGAATTTTTCTGTTGGGGGCCATCTATCCCCTTGTATGCTTGTTTGCATCTTGTTTTTGAGTCTTGCATCTAGGCCTTTGTTTCGTGCTTTGTTTGGCCTTCTAGCCACTGAAATCCAATGAATTTTTAGTGACTAGCACACTGTTTTGAGAGCCAAAATCAGAGGGGGGTGACCCCCTCTCTTCTTGTCTTGTTTGTTGGCCCTTTTGGCCTTCCAAAGGGGCTCCTACTTGCATGTTGTGAAGTCACATTTCAGGCCCTATTTGGTGAGTTTTAAGGCCTACCTTGGCTCTATTCAGAGCCCATTTTTCCATATGAAGTGTCTATTTTGCATGTGTAGAGCAATCCCATCCAAGGCCTTTCAAAGGGGCTTTCATTTGAATGCTTCCTAGACTAATTTCAGGATCTTTTTGGTGGGTTTTAGGACCCTCATAACCTCTGTCCAGAGGCCATTTTTCCATTTTGTGTGT